ATCTCTAATTTTAAGTGAAATTAGAGAAAATATGAAAAATTTATCCAGAGAAGTTTCCAAAAAATCAAAAGTAATAATGTGATTGAAAGTTGTGAACTTTGTGGAAGAAAAGGAGATATCGGTAAAAATTGTTATTCAAGAGACCGAAAAACTAATGAGAATGTGACTGCAAAACCAAGTGAAAAAAATGACCTAGTGTGTCATAGATGTGGTTTTGTAGGACATATAAAAAGAAATTGCATGGTGAAAGAAGCCAATTTCAAAAGTGGATTTCCACAACGAACATCGGTAGTGATAAATCCAGTGGTTCGAAGTATACAAAATCCTCAGATTATAAATGTGGATGAAATTAAAACTTACAATACAGACCTTGATAGAATGTGTTTCAAATGTGAAGAAATGGGACACATTGCCATACATTGTATTCAAAGTGTGAGTGGGTTACAGTGACTATATGATTTGAAAGGGAATCATATAAAAATAGAAAAATCATATTTAGAGAATAATAAATATTTTGATATATATATAGTTTTATTAAAAATTTTGATGATTGAAAAAGAAATTATTCAGTGTTGGTGTTTTAGTGTCAATATAAAATTGAGTAAAGCATAATTAAAAGTGATAATATATTGTAATAAAAGTTTTGAAAAAATAACATCTGGGAAGAAAAGTATTATTTATCTTAAGCAGAGAAGAATATTTTAATTTAAGAATTAAATTGTTATCAATAAAATAAAAACATTGACTTTAATAAATTCATGTGTATAATACCATGTGGCATGGTATTGGAAAGTTCAATGAAATACAAACTTTTGTGTATAAAAAAAAAATGTATTATTTTTAATTTAAAGAGACATTGTTGTGAAACAATGTAAAATTAAAAATTTTTATTATGTGGTAAAGAAAAAAAACTCTTAAATAAAAGTCGGTGGACAATAAAAGATTTTAAACTTTGACCTAGTGAAGAATTATGTAAAATAAAAGAGTTTTAAAAAAAGATGGAATGTGATGTTGTTTATAGTTTTAATAGTTATAATTATAAATTAAAAATTTTTTTTATCTATCGGCACATCTTCATATTTTTTTTTTGTAACATAGAAAATATGATTGTGGTAGCATTATATATATATATTGTAGTTTTGTATTTTTGCTATATAAAATGTCTTAATATTTTTTTTTGTGGTTCATATTATTTTCTTACTGGATAAAACGAAAATCAATTTATGTAGTTTTAATAGTAGTAATTATAAATTATTTTTTTTTATCCCTATTCGTATTTTTTTATTTTGTTTGTGGTCAATTATTTGTTTTATAATTGAACATTAATAAAAAGAAAATAATTGTAAAGGATTGTTGAATCCAAATTTATATGTATTATAAAACAAACAAAATATATTAATTATTATAACCTGCATGTCGAAAGAAGACAATTCAAGAGTTAAAAGTCGATGATGTTCAAAGATAAGATTCGATAAATGACGAGGAAATAATCAATGTCCTTAAAGAACGATAATTATATGGTATCTGGGCGTTTGAAGGGTGGGCGTGTTGCAAATGTTGAATTAAAGAGAAAAATAAAAATATTTATTTTCAAGAGATGTCAATCAGATTATTATTCTTTTAAATAATATGTTTTTATTGTAAAAGTAATAATTGATTCAGTTGGTGATTTTGAGATTTGATAAATATATTTATGATTTGGAATATGAATTATTTGATATCGAATTTTATGATTATACTATTGGAATTTATTAATGAAAAATAAAGAGAATTTTATCAAAATAAATTTATTTGTAGTGTAATTAGTGAAATATTTCAGTTCTCACTATTCAAATATAATATTTTTATCACGCGTTATAATAATAAATCCAAAAGAACTCTTTATGCAAATTAAATATAAAGTACAAATTTAACGAATCTAAAATTTATTTACATATTACAACATTATCAAATTAAAATAAAATAATAAATATTTCTAATTCTGAGATGGCTATATTGTCAAATATATTTTTTTGGAAATTAATTAATTCTTTTTAGGGTATTACTCGATATTTACATTATTTGATGGAAATTTTTATAGACTTTCAAGTGCCAATATATTATTTAAGTATATTATTAAAGTAATCTTGGAATAAAATGTATTTATCAAATAATTCGTAGTCGCTTTTCCGGGGGATGACGACATGCGGCTATATTATCCAAAAATATAATTTTGAATAAATTATAATCAATTAAGAAATAATTCGAGTTTATGAATTAGAAATATGATAATTCGAGTTCTTATATTTTTCCTATTCAAATATAATCCTTTTTCCGAGATATTATAATTCAGGATTTTATATTGTTCTATTGTATTCGTAAATAAGACGAATCAAACAGCGTCATCCTAAGCACAAAAAAGTTGCATTTTTTTGGGAAATTCGTAAAGCAACAGCAATATCCTCAACGAACAATTGCCGCATTCCTTTATTTTTATTTTCGATAATAAATTACACGGCGTCCTCCTATTGACAAAAACCGAGCATTTTATATGAGGAATTCGTGAAACGATTACAACGACGTCTTTGTATGGGCAGAAAGCGGAGTTTTTATTCTTAATACAGGGGTAAAGTGATACAAGAAATTATAAAGTCATTTATTAGCGAAATTTCCTGTGCGAAAACATGAAAGATTAAATAGACTTCATTAATCACATATATATGGATGATGATGTTCAATCAAGTTACTGCTTAAATATTTGGACAATAATGTTAAACAAAACCACTGAGAAATAACTTAATATTCCGTACTGTACGATATTATGAATTTTTATATATTTAGACAATGATTCTGAAATCAAGCCGTTGGGAAGCAACTAATGCCGAATATATATGAGGTTAACATGGCCGAAAAACCATTACGCAATATGAATAAAAAATTTTTTTTAATTTAAAAGCATTTTTTTTTGAATAAAGGAACGCTTAGCCTGTTAAGGATGACATGTTGTGTTTTTTATAAATCTCTACTCATTTATAAGATGAACCTGTCATTTAATGCCATTAATAAAATCAAATCAAAAATTACACAAAACAAAACTGAAATGGAGCAATGGGAAAATGTATAAAATTGTTGAAGTTCCAAATCTTCTGAAAAGATAAAGGAGATAACAGGTGGTGATAAGCTAAAATTTCCAGGCATTATTAGGTGAAATAGCTGATATCATAGTATGACTTAACTACATTTTATATTATTATTTGAAACAATTGATTTTCATATAATTAATGAAGCGGTTATTGTCATTATTGAGGAACATTGTTAAGAAAAGCTATAAGAGCAAAGTAATTCAAAATTAGTGCTTATACTATTTGTGGTTAAAAAGGAGTTAGGTAAACTTAAAAATTTAAGTTGCAATATTGCCTTTTATGCCAAAATATTTGGGAATATTTTATTCTTATGATGATTAATATAACGAGGCTTTTTGGCATTATTAATACATCTATATTTTAAGAATTTATGACTTGTCGAATGATAAAAAATAATATTTTTATATTATTAAAAGAGGCCCTAAATGTAGTGCCAGTAGTATATAATCAAGCTCAAACTATAACCAAGATTTAATATCTAATAAAAAAATGTTGATTATTATTCTTTTGGTGGAACCAATGTTGCTGAGTTTAATAATACAATACCATTGAGCTCAAGGTGAAGGTTTTAAATTATTATAAAGACCTTCGAAATACAACAGATATGCTTTTTATTATCCTTCCATTAAAGAGTTTTATTTAAAAGATAGTACTGTAATATCTAAATCAGCTTCAGTTGAAAGGGGTTATTTAGTTTTGTCACAATGTTGAATACACCGAAACGGAAAAGGCTTATAGATAACTTATTCCAAAAATTAACTATCTTAAAAAATATTGATTTAATTTAATCTATTTCAAATACTATTTTGTAAAATATTTCAACCAACTTTAAAATACTAATCTCCCTTCCCTGACTATGCTATGTATGAACTAAATAATAATAAATGGCCTGATTATTATAATTAACTCGTCATCAAATATTCTATTAATTATTGTAAATATTCCTTCATATTATATTCTTATGTTATGTTCTTCCCCAATAAATGATAAAAATTGTATTTTATGAACTATTCTAATTTGATAATGATAATTTTATAAAAGTATCTTGTATTTAAGATACACTCATTGAATAAGATACAAGTACCTTTTATCTTGAATAAGATACCAGTATCTATAACTAAGATTCCTTCTTTTTTTTTTATAAAGAATTTATATTTTAGATTTTTTAAAAGACCTGCCTAACTCTGCCCGTTAGTGGGCAGGCCACATATGCATATAGGCACAACAGTACGAAGAACTCTCTTTTAAACCTCTATAATCTGAGATAGAAAAAGATAAATAAAGAAAAAGCCTATACTCAACGAGAATTGACATATATTTAATGACTTTGGGATAGGGCAGGTTGATTTTAATTTTAAATGTTTATGTTAAATATAGTGTTGTTAAACTAACTATCTTTAGTCAACTATAAAACAGCGTAGCCATATTTTTATACAGAAGTATTACAATCAATCTTCAAGTTGAGGCTCAACTTAGAAGCTTAATTCAATTATTTAGTCTAAAAGTTTGACTAGACACAATAGAGATGGTCAAAGTTAGGTAATTTAATACTAATTAAATACATAAATTTTGTTGGTGGAATTGATTTTTTTAGTGTGAATAAATTGAAAGTATTATTCTAAAAATGATTTAAAAAAATATGTGTATCATCGCTATTTAACTCTTTATAGCACATGCGAGACCATGCAGCTCCAGTCATTTAAAAGAAATAATTTTTTCAATATTTTTATCTGGATCTTTTAATAGCTCAATATTTAGTTAAATATATATGTCAAAAATTACCTTTGGGTTTGTTTGGTAGTTCATGAGTTAAAATGGTTTTTGTAGCATGCTCGCATAATAGACCTACATATACTTAATTTTTCTTGTGGATATTATGAAATATCAAATTATGATTGGCATTTCGTATAATATTTCGGTCTTCAAGTAAAGTTAGTTATTATTTCATTCAATATTTCTTTTTCAAGATATTTATTATTGAGTAATTGCAAAATAAATATGGATTTTCATTTTATAATAAAAAAGTATTTGTATTAATCCTAAATTTGTGAAATCATAAAAAATACAAATACTTATTATTTTTTTAGTAATTAAAATGCAAATACTTTTTTAAATATTCAAATAAATACAAGTATTCATATTACTGCCCAATCCTGTTATATCATTTTCTTAAAATATTATTGTAATAAATGCCATCACTAAATGTGTTTTCTATTTTTATGGAATTTAAGGATTTTAAACATGTTTTTGTGTGTATATTATATAATTATATTTCTATTAGGGGAAAGCCCAAAGGGAACTGCAAATTTTATCAGGCATAGGTATGTGTTGTTTCATCATAGGTTTAGGTGGTTATAAATGTTATTAGTATAATTCAAAAAAATAAATAATGAAAAACATAAAAAAATCTATTACTTTCATTCTATTTAAATTAGAAATAATTATATAAAAATATTTTCCATTTCAAGTTTGAAAAAATAGGAATAAATTCCATTTGTTGGTAATAATTTTTTCATGGTTTTGATAAGGGATGGCTAGTTGGACAGTTAAATTACAATATTGTGTCGCAACTATGTTCTAAGATACCACTCTCTTTTTATAATCAAATAATATTATTCTAAAGCAAATTTAATAACAATAAAACATTTATCCAATATTTATAAGTTAATAAACAATCAGATAAAAAACTATCTAATATTTACGTAATAAAACTGCAATTACTCAATAATTCAATAGTCTAATTAAATATCTTGAAAACAAATGTAAATATTAAATATAATCATATTATACACTGGGGAGACATCCCACAATTAAGTGGGCACTCCACCACTCTTTAGAGGGTGTCTCCAGTGCAGTAAATTTGCATTCACTGTTTGGCAGAAAATTTACCTTACTGTCTGGGCCCATTTAATTTAAGAGGAATTACGGTACCTCTCATAAATAAATTTCACTAAAAAAAATAGGCAGTAATTTACCCTACTGTCAGGGTTCGTTTAATTAAAGAGGAATGACGGTACCTCTCACAGAACAGCAAGTATCCCTTAAAAAGTATAAACTAAAAAATAAATAAAAGATAATAATAGAAGGGAAAAAATGGAAAGTATAGAAGTATAGGGAGATAGAGAAATTTGGTTTTTTAATTAAAATTTTATTATTTTATTAGTATTGATAATTAAAAGAAATATGTACAATATTATTAATATAATTATATATAAATATATGAAATAATGTTTACATATATATTATTGGAATTAATAAAAAAAAGGAATAATTAATCAATAATGGCTTGATTTATCCAAAATTTTAAATCTGATTTGTTTTGAGATATATTGATTAGGAAGGGTCATTCCATGTCAAATGAGCAAAAAAATCAAGATTTTTGGCCGACCCCTTTCAATTTTGATAAAAAGTTGTAGACTGGTTATATATGTTTCCATTAGATTATAAACAAAATTTTAGCGCATTAGCAACTATATTAGCGGAGATAATCGGGGTTAAAGGTCCAAAAAACGTCTTTTTTTCCTTTTTACTGATGTTAAATAATTAGTTTTTAATTTAAAACTAATTATGATCAAATATTGAATTTAATATCAATAGCTAAGTTAATAATTGATAATTATGGCGAAAACATCAAAAATAATTTTTTTTAAAATATGGGTCATCTTATGGTCAGTTGAAAACTTGAAATTAATATTTCGAAATGTATATGATCTCCGATTTTTAATTTTTTGAAGAAATATTATCCGTTTACTATTTTTTTAATAATTTCTTTAACAATTAGCATGGCTGGATATTTATTTAAAAAAATATTGCGATTTTTAAACTTTAAAAAAAATAGATGGCGCTATATATAATAGTTTTAATATGTTAAAATTCATTTTTTTTATTGATTAAAAATATTTTAATGTATAATATATCATAAAATTCGATTATATAACTTTGTAAACCTTATTCCCCTGAGATATTCGCAGGATAAAAAATTTTAATAATTTTTTTAATATTTCAATGTAAATTAAAATAATTAAAAAATCGGACTAGCACACGAACAAAAAAGCAGGATTAAAGGGGTGCCGGAAATTATTAAGGGAAAAATCGAAAATCACATTAATTACCAGGCCTACCCCCAACCCCCTATCCACCCTTTCCCCAGACTAAGTCATACCCATTAAGACCAAGAATGTTATGAAATTGTCATTATCTTACATTATTAAAATAACCAGAGATAAAGAAAATTTCAAAGATTTTGAAAAATTTTTTAAGCAATAAAAATAACAAAATTATAGTTCTGATGAAATAAGCCGACTCATGCCTGGAATAAAAGATTGTGTACCTGTTAAAGGCGAGAAAGAATCAGCAAAGATTTATATTAAATAATCTTAAAGAAATATTCAAGATGTTTAAGGAAGAATACCCAAGTATATCAATTGGATTCTCTAAATTTGCCGAACTTAGACCAAAAAACCTAATTTTAGTTTGATGGCACACACACTGTTTGTGTCTGCGCCATTCATCAGAAAGTGAAATTAATGACAAATGTAATAGCTGAATTTACAGCAGGAGAAGATTACTATATAAATTCTTATAACAATCTTTTGGCTCAAATTATTTGTAATCCATCTCAGCCAAAATGTTACTTAACAAATTGTGATCAATGCCCTGGTATAGAATCTCTTATGGGCCAATTATACGAATTGTTTCAGAGAAATCGTATAGAATATGTCACGTTTAAACAATGGATCACGGTGGATAGAGCAAATCTTGAAACTATTATAAAGTCCATTGATGGTTTCATCGAATATCTATTATAAAAAGTTCAAATTTTACTGCGTCACTCGTTTATAGCTAAACACAAAGTTTATTTTTGAAGAATTCCAAAGAAAATTTAAAAGATGAGGAATTTTTAACAATTCTAGATTATTCTGAGAATTATTCCTTCATTTTACAAGATGAAGTTCAGGGATTTCATTGGAACAATGTGCAGGCCACTATACATCCATTTGTAGCATATTATAAATCTGGAGAAGAATTAAAAAATATAAATTTTGTTATTTTGTCCGAATCATTAAGCCATAATACTAGTGCAGTCCACCTTTATCAAAAAAAATTCATTAAATTCTTAACAGCCAAATTTAATTCTAAACTAGAAAAAATAATATATTTTCCGGATGAAGCCGCGTCTCAATACAAGAATCGCAAAAATTTTCTGAACATATGCCTTCATAAATACGATTTTAATATTCCTGCCGAATGGCATTTCTTTGTCACTGCTCACGGCAAAAATGCATGTGACGGTATCGGAGGAACTGTCAAAAGATTAGTTGCCAGAGCTAGTCTTCAAAGGCCAAATAAAAATCTCCCCCATTAGAATTATATAATTATGCTAAAGAAAATATTAATATTCAATTTGAATATGTATCCAATCAAGAATATATCGAAGAGGAATTAGCCCTTCGTAAAAGATTTAATTCTGCACTGCCCATACATGGGACCCAAAAAATTCACGGGATTATTCCCATTGATCAAAATAAACTAAAAACCAAAATATATTCTAATTCCAAAAAATATAATATAAAACAAGTTCCGTTTTTAAATGAGAAAATTATATTTTAAAATATTAATGAATATATAACATGTGTATATGATGATAAATGGTGGTTAGCAGAGTTGTTAAAGTATCTAGATACAAGTATCTAGATATAAAAATGTAGTATCTGTATCTAGATATAAAAATGTAGTATCTGTATCTAGATAGATTTTTTAGAAAGGTATCTGTATCTAGATATTTTTTAGAGGTATCTGTATCTGTTTTTAGATACTTTTTAAGATACATTCTATATACCTCTTTTTTAATTATAAATAAAAATATTTGACTGTAAAATTTATTTTATTTCATATGAGCTTATGAAATAAATAAATAAATATATATATATATATATTATATATTAATATTTATTAATACTATAATAAAGAATTATATATACATAAAATATTAAAACTATATATAAATATTCATTAATTTAAATATTATGTGCGAGTTTATCAATAAACCATACAAATTTTAATATTACAATATGAAAATGGTTAAATTAAAAATATTATAATTCTAGGTTTATTGTGACCTTATTTGAAGATGATAATATTATAGCAACCATGCTCCACCCTTTTTTTAAACTTGATTGGACATGGTTGCAAATGGAAGAAAAGCTTAATAAAAGAAAACAATTGATGCAAAGATTAGCTGGTGAATTATCAAAGTCATCAACTGACTGCAAGCAAATAACCTGCCAAAAAAAACAAATAATTTAATTTCAGATTTTTTAAGTACCCTACAGCATATATAATTTCTAATAATGATTTAAATTTTGATAATCAACAAATTTTAAATAATTTTTTCAAAAATGAATGTAGAGATTTTAGCATTTTTAAAGAATACCCTGATATAAAATTGTTATTTATTAAATATAACGCTACAATTCCTTCAAGCGCCCCTGTGGAAAGACTATTTAGTGTTGCTAAAAATGTCTTTAAAGATAAACGAGGATACCTAAATGATCAAAATTTTGAAAATATTTTATTACTGAAATCTAATAATTATTTATAATTATTTAATCATATATTTTCATATATTATATTAAAATCATTATTTTAGTTATATTCTGATAAATGTTATATCGCGTCAATAAATTTTTTAGCTCATTTGAATTTTCACAATATAATATTAATTTAGGTTTATGCAAACCTATAAGAGCATAATAAAAAATGTATCTGTATACAGATACATTTAAAAATTGTATCTTATCTTGATAACTTTTTAGACGATGTATCTGTATCTAGATATCTTTTGAGACTATGTATCTGTAACTGTATCTAGATCCATTTAAAAAGTATCTTTTAAATACTCTGGTGGTTAGGATATATAATCGATAAAAGT